ATCCTTCATCAGACACTTAGCGATCATGTTTTCGAGAATAGAAGGGAAGGCGTCGCTTTTGGGAAGTTTGGGTGAGGGCTTTAAGACGATTTGTTGTAGCAGATCGAGAATGCCTTGAGGTCCGCCTGCTTCGTCGTCGTCGCCGCTGCCGGCAAAAGGGAATTTACCAATAGCTAGCTCCATGAGGGTCAAACCCACACTCCAGACGTCTGACTTGACAGTGTACGGCGACCCTTGTATACGCTCTGGTGCCATGTATGTCCCTGTTCCCACAAACGTCTCGGCGATGGAGCCTTCAAGCTCACTGGACACACCAAAGTCACACAGCTTGATGTTGCCCTTTGAGTTGACGAGGATGTTGGACGGCTTCAGGTCGCGGTGCATGATACGGTGGGCACTGTAGAGATAGGCGAGTCCGCCTAGGACGGCCTCTGAGATCTTGCCGAGGACATCGACGCGTACGGGACCGAATGTGCGCGAGACCCAGTCCAGCGATCTGATGTTGCACTGTCAGTGAGCCGTCCGTATGCCCTTGGTAACAAGAGAAAAGGTACTTACCCGACATCCATGTACTCCATGCACATGATCACGTCGCCCGACGAGTTTTGGAAAGCGCCGTAAAAGTCGACAATGTAGTCCGAGTTGCAGTCGTGCATGATGCGCAATTCTCGCACGATCCGTTTCCGTACCTCGTTCTTGGCTTCGACGTGTATGACCTATGGTTACCTCTGGTCAGTCCTCTCACTCGCATTCTCCTCAGTAGGCCTTCCAGAAGGGGGAAAGCAACGCACCTTCCGCGCCATGATGACTTTGGTCGCCGCGTGCTGCACCTTGCTGACGGTCCCGCCGTTGCCCGAACCCAGTTCTCGCAGCACGATCAGATCCTCCGCCTTGAGATCCAGCTGGAACTCGACGCCGATCTCCAAAGTGTCCTGCTTCTCATCGTTGGCCAGGGCACCGGGTATCTGGGCATCTCCTGCAGACGGTGCGGGCTTGGGAGGAGGCGCGCTGAGGGCAAGGCCCTTGACGTTCTTCCTCTTCATCGTCTTCTGCTTGAAAGGATCGGCCATGGCGGATGATGATGCTGGTGCTAATGCTAATGTCGATGCTGGTGACTGGGGTTTACGTGTCGGCCACTGGCGTGCTACAAGTAAAGGCGTAAGAGGGAATGGAGCCTAGCGGTCAGGGCAAAGTGAAAGCGCAAACAACAGCGCAGTCAGTCCTCTTGTGTCAATTTGCCGCCCAAAGTTGGGTCGACGGGGGTTCGCCAATCACGGCAGGCTCCCCACTGGAAGACAGCGTCTATTGTGAGATTCCGATTTTGGCACACGTGCGTAGCGGCTTTGCAACCAAGGATGTGATAAAGGGCCGGCGCTGATTGGAAGAGAAAGAGGGAGGGCAGGCAAAAAGGCCAAACGTCTTGTCTTGGGCCGGTGCAGGATTCAGTGCTATCAAAGGGGACGTTGGTGAGGTCGTGTCAGTCTAGAGTAGCGGGGCCGTGTTTGGTGGGGGAGAAGGAAGCGCGTGCAGCAAGCTCAAGGCCTTGATGAACTAGTAGTACCGGTAGCTCTTGCAAGGCTGCAGTGGCGCAACAACGTACGGTGTGTGAAGGAGAAACGGGGACACTGGAGAGAGAGGGAGAAAATAAGGGAGTGGCAAGGTCTGGCTATGCGATGCGACGTCTTGTATAGCACGGCTGCCAGCACACCGTCACGGCTGCATCTCTCAGGAGGTTTCAGCAGGGTGCATAGCCATCGTCATCATGCTTCACCAGCTTCTAGCGCAGAACATCGAAACGCGGACCCTTGGAAGACTGCAACTGCGTAGGTATGTACATACAGTGGATAAGCCCTTGCTTTTCGCCGTTTAAGCCGCTGCTTTTACCCAAAGGCTGGCCATCCGAGAGATCTTGGTTGCAACTTGCAAGGCAAAAGACTTGCGGTAGGAACCTAAATGTCTGACAGTGGACTCTGGATCAGTTAGATCAACTTACCTGGCCTGCGACGACAACTCCAGTCTCCATCAATACCTATACACGTGACTCAATGTGCAAATTTTACGGTACCGTACCGTACGGCACGATACGTGAGAGAGGCTAGGTACCTATCCGAACATCTTGCACAGGGCCATTAGAATCAACATGCTCGTCAACAGGCAATATGTACTTGTTGAGTCATGAAAACAGCAGGTGGGCTGATAGATTCGGAACCAGAAGTCATGAAAGGCTGGTTTCTTATCATCCCAACTTAACTCCACATCCATTGTTCGCTCTGTAGCGTCTTGGGGGTCGCGGGTCGCAAGACAATGCGCGAGCGCGCGGCATGATCACGTGCGCAGCGTCAGTGCGGCGAAATGTTGATGCGCGCCGAACAGGCCTGTGTGAACCGTTGCAGAGACCGCCCATCTGTCTTTCTTTTTCTCCTTTACCTCGCCTGCTCTCACCAATTTCTTCCGCCGAATCGCCACAATCATCAACCTCACCGCGGGCCGGAGCTTGCGAAATCGCGTGGTGAACCCCTTGGAGCGACTTGCGCGCGTTTCTCTTGTCACGACGTAAAACATGTCTACACGAGACCTCTTTGATACAATCGCCGACGAAGGCAGCGAAGAGGAAATAGATGAGGACTTTGATGGCGAAGAGGGAGGTGTCATTCCCAAGAAGATCAACGGCGTAAATGGCCTAGACGACTCGAGCGAAGAAGAAGAAGACGATGATGATGATGAGCGGCTACGAGAGGCAAGCTTGAAACTCATGTACGTTTGAAACTACCTGCTAACTGATCGCAGGAAGGTGAAGGCTTCATCGCTGATGAGGAGGAAGAGGAAGAGGAAGAGGCACGTAGGCGGCGGCGCAGGAAGAAGAGAAAGAACCGCGAAGCCGACGAAGCCCTCGATGACGAAGATCTTGACCTGATTGGCGTCGAAGTCGAGCGACCAGAGGAGCCACAAGTAAGTAAGGGTACGCATTGCTGGGATAATCCAACTGACCAAGGTCTAGTCGAAATACAAGCGACTGAAACGCGGCCACAAGGAGCGCGTCAAGTCGCGCGGCATCGACGACATCTTCTCCGACGACGAGGCAGGCGAAGACATTGACGAGCCGCGACGGATCGGCGGTGACGAGTTCGACGGTTTCATCGAGGACGACCAGTTCGAGGACGAGATCGAAGACGACCGCGACGTCACACAGCCCGGTATCAGCCTTATAACACAGGGTCTTCAAGCCGCCGGACTAGATGAGGGTGCCGAGGAAGACTACAGGGCCGCTTTTGGTGATGGCACTGACTACGACTGGGCGCTGGAAATGCAAGAGGCCGAAGAGGAGGAGCAGACTGGCGAAGGCCGCGAGCTCCAACTCAAGGATGTCTTTGAACCATCACAACTGCAGGAGCGCATGTTGACTGACGAAGATAATATCATTCGCGAGATTGACATACCAGAGCGCCTGCAACTAGCCCGACGGCCGTTCAAGCCACTCGAGCTCACGCCCGAGGACATGCAAGCACGCTTAACGGAAGAAGCTGCATGGATCAGCACTATGCTTTGGCCAAAGAAAGGGCTCCCCGGCTACTTCCAACAGCCTTTTCAAAGGGCTGTGCGCAAGGTATTGGAGTTTATCAACATCGAAGACTATGAAGTTCCCTTTATCTTCAACCACCGCAAAGACTACCTCATCCATGCACCGAAGAATAACGACGATTTTGATGACGACATCGAGAATGCGCCGCCCCCAGGTGCCCGCCCCGAGCGCCTCCTCAATCAGAGTGACCTGTGGGAAGTCTTTGACATGGATCTCAAGTTCCGAGCATTTGCTGAGAAGCGAGATGCACTTCGTCTAAACTACGACAACGTCCGGGCAGTAGCACCAGAAATCAATGACACTGAGATCGAAGACCTGGCTTCGAAAGCCTTGACTATCGAGGAGATTCAGGAGCTGCAAGATTACCTGCACTATCGATATCAGCATGAGATAAGCGAAGTTCGACAAGAGACAAATACCGGACAGAAGCGCGCCAACAATGCACGCAACTTCTTCGACAAGCTCCGTAGCAGTAAGGCGCAGCAACTGATACAGGCTATTGGTATCACTCCAGAGGACTTTGCAAAGAAGGTTGATGGAACAAGCAGGGGCGCTCACGTCATTGAAGATCCCCCAATGATGGTGCAAGAGCTTGCAGATCAATTAGCCGAAGCTCCAGAGACTGGCCTCGGGTTACTCAAGTCTGCCAAGCTGCTTTTTGTGCAGGACTTGTTGATGAGCTCGCGACTACGAAGATTCTTGCGTAGCAGCTTTTATCAGAACGCCCAAATTGATTGTATCCGGACCGACAAGGGTATGCGGAAGATTACTGAGGACCATACTTACTATGAGTTCAAGTATCTTCGTAGACAAACATTTATGGATCTACAAGGCCGACCAGATCTGTTCTTGAAGATGCTCAAAGCTGAACAAGAAGGTCTCGTGCAGGTCAAGATCTACATGGGCGCATACCATCAGTTCAAGGCGCGTCTACAAGAAAAGATTGTCTCTGACAATGTCAGTGAAGCTTCAGATTCATGGAATGCTCTCCGGAAGGAATTACTCGATAATGCTCTGGATAAGCTGCAGGCCATCATCGCCAATGGAGTGAAGGAATCATTACGCGCTCGATGCGAAGACGAACTCGCCAGCCGTGCTCGTGAGAACTACTACAATAAGCTCGATCAGGCCCCATTCAAGCTCAAGCACGCGGCCAATGGCTCTGTGCCCAACGTTCTGTGCCTATCCAACGGCAAGGGTCAGCGTGGGGATGCCGTCATGTGGGCTTACGTTGAGAACGACGGTCGTGTTCTTGAGCAAGGCAAACTTGTTGAGATGAGGCTTGGTAACCAGGAACGAGGCATTCCTGAAGGCCAGGACATTGCCAAACTTGTTGATGTTGTACAGCGTCGACGTCCGGATGTGATTGGTGTCAGCGGTTTCACTGTAGAGACGCGAAAACTTTACAAAGACATTCAAGAGATTATCAACATCTACAATCTCTCAGGCCCAGCATACGAGGACGAGCAGACAGGCGCGGATCGGAGCGATCCTCTCGAGGTGGTCATGGTCAACGATGAGGTAGCTCGTCTGTATCACACCAGCGCTCGTGCCGCTGCCGAGTTTCCCAAATACTCTGCACTCACCAGGTACTGCATTGCCCTCGGACGATATCTGCAAAATCCTCTTGCAGAATACGCCTCTCTCGGAAAAGACATTGTGTCGATACCATTCATTCCTCAACAGACATTGATACCACAGGAGAAACTTTTGGAGAAACTAGAGACTGCCATGGTTGACATGGTCAATCTCGTTGGTATCGACCTCCCAGAGACGTATGACGACGCGTACATGTCAAAACTGCTTCCTTACGTCTGCGGTCTGGGCCCTCGCAAAGCGGACAGGTTGGTCAAGGCGATCCAAGCTAATGGCGATGAGATCCTGTCGCGGTTCGATCTACTTGGTGTCTCTGAGAACACATCTCGTGATCTCAAAGCGGCTATGGGCCCCAAGGTCTTCCAGAACTGCGCAAGTTTCCTCTACATCCCTTACGATTCAAGCGAAGAGACATCAGACTACCTTGACTACACGCGTGTACATCCCGAAGATTACGATCTAGCCCGGAAGATGGTCGCCGATGCTCTCAACATGGACGAGGAGGATGTCAAGGCCGAGACCGACGAAGGGGGGCCAAGTGCTGTTGTTCGCAAGATGGTTCGCGAAGACACAACCGACTTGGTGAACGACCTAGCACTGGAGGACTATGCCGACGAGATCGAGAAAAATTTTGGTCAACGCAAGCGCGCAACACTTGAAACCATCCGTGCCGAGCTTGAAAACCCTTACGAAGAGATCAGACAAATATTTGCGCTCATGTCTGGCGAAGAGATCTTCACCATGCTTACTGGAGAGACCAAAGAGACGCTTTATGATGGCATGGTCGTTCCCGTCACCATCCGTCGCACGTTCTCCGACCACATTGAAGTCAAGCTCGAATGTGGTATCGAAGGTGGCGTATCAGAATCTGAGTTCCCAGAGGGTGTTGGTAGTGGCGGCCAAGAACCACGACATGTATACCAACCACATCAAGTCGTCCGCGCGCGCATTCTTTTCATCAGCCGCAAAGCTCTTACGGCGCAACTGTCGCTTCGCGAAGACCTCATCCGCCAGCCAGAGAAGAAGCTCTATGATCGCGCAGCTGGCGAGTGGGATGATGCACAAGAAGCTGCTGATAAGAAGGCCGCGGAAAAGGAGAAGGAAGTGGCAACTGGTCGCCCCAACCGCGTGGTAAACCATCCTCTCTTCTTTTCCTTCAACACCGTGCAAGCAGAAGAATACCTGGGTTCGAAAGAAACCGGCGATCTCGTCATTCGTCCATCGTCTAAAGGGTTCGACCATCTGGTCGTCACATGGAAGGTATCCAACAACGCATACCAGCACCTCGATGTCCTCGAGATGAACAAGCCCAACCAATTCACCCTTGGCAAACAGCTCAAAATCGGCAAAATGACATACTCTGATCTCGACGAGTTGATCGTGCTCCACGTCGAAGCCATGGCAAGAAAAGTTCAAGAACTAACTCGAGACGAGCGATTCCAACCTGGTACCAAAGAGGAAACCGGTATGTTATTGCCCATCCATTCTACACACACACACACACACACAAACAAACAAACCAGCAAGCAAACATGCTAACCTCTCCCAATAGAACAATGGCTAGAAACCTACTGCATAGCCAACCCCCACCGCTCCATGTACGCATTCTGCAGCATGCCCAAATACCCAGGCCACTTTTGGATTTGCTACCAAATGGGCGCTGATGCCCCGCGTGGCGCCTGGCCCATCAAGGTCGTACCCAATGCATACGAGTTGCAGAAGCATATCTATCCAGACATGGTGGCGCTGAAGAATGGGTTCAAGATGCTGATTGGGGCACAGCCGAGAGGGGTTCCGAGGAGGTAGATGCGTGGAGGTGTTCTATGGACTACGAGTTTCTGGAGAGAAGGAGGTTGGCGGCGGGTTTCTCCATTCGTGGGCGATGCTGTACTGATATGGGTATGGTAATTTTTCAGGGCCTATTTCTTTGTTTTGCTTTGGAGAGAAAAAGAGAGTGAGAGGGCGAGAAAGAACCAGGGACAGAAAGACATGGAAAAGTAGCTCAGCATCAGCGGTTTACCCATTATATCCGCGGGGTCGGTTGGTTTTTTTTCCCTTCTTTGCGCAGTCTGAAGCTGCACATGTCGGTGGGTTTATACCACCAACTAAGCATTTATGGAGCAAGGCATCATCTTCTTTTGTTCCTCATATCCGAGAGAGTTTTGAAAAGTACAATTTTATCCAGTTTACGCCTGCAATATCTTGGCTCTTGACCCACACACATACTGAGCTCTGAAGCGCCTCTGTGCATCATGTATGGGATTGCGCATCGACTCGTCTTCACCTGATGTGGCATTTTCTCCCCACGTGTGTGTGCCTACGGACCTTGGGTTCCTGTGCTCGATAGCAGATTTCAAGACGTAAGAAATTGGAATTCTGGGAAAGAGGGAGTAGATGGTAGGGATCATGGTGTATTATGATTTTGCATATTCAGGCTCTGGGGACTATGGGCCTGGGACTATGGGCATGGTGTGTTGTAGTTGGGCATGCATGGTGATTTCTTTTAAACAAAAAGCCCCCCCTGCAGACTGCGCGGAGACGAGACCTTTTGCAGTATGTAGGTCTGTGAGTGTCTGTTGCAAAGTAGATCTAGGGGTGTGGGGGTTGGGGTTGGGATTGAGATGGGGGTTTCCTTGATTTCAGGGATGTGATGTGACGAACGTGGTGATGGTATATAAATTCGGTCTGGAGTGAGTCCTTGCTTGAGAAGGATGATTGGAGGGAAAACGGCGGGACATTGTTGACTTGGAGACAAGCAAAGTCATGTATACGCTATGCGGGAGAGACCTACACCATCAGTCTCACACTTCGGGTAATACACGACTAATCCACATTACAGTCGAATAATCGCGCAAATCCCATGGAATCTACACCGAGATAGGATAGCCTTCACATGACCGTCGGTCTCGAACGCAGATGTTCCAAGACCAAGTGCGCAACTTGCTGCAGATTTTCAAAAACGTGCCAATGGCTGGACCCCTCGATCACCTTCAACGTCGCCTTGCCACGCATCGCCTCCACATACCGCGAACATGCTTCCGGGGGCGAAGCTGCATCCTTGGTACTTGTAATGATAAGCGTATCCGCCTGCACCGCGCCTAGATCAATGTCCTCTGCGTCTGCAAAGGCTGAGCATGCCTTTGCAAAGCCCTCGGCATCTTGACCAAGCAGGGACATGCGAATGGCTGCTGTGACTAGGAGGGTTTTCTGGGTTGCTGCTTTGCTGGGCGGCAGAGACGTCGTGTTGTAGACGTCGGCCACAGCAGACATGCCTTTTGTACGGGCTGTGCGGGCTAGATCTTGTAGGGCGCTGCGGTAAGGCTTTGCGAGTGATAGTGGGGGTGGACCCATTAGGATAAGCTGAGCGATCTGTGATGGATGTGTGAGGGTGAAATGCAATGCCACCAGGCAACCCATGCCATGTGCGATGATGGTCGCTCCTGGACCGATCCCGCCGTGCTTACAAATACCAGCAACGTCCGCGGTAAAAGAACTGATGCTCAATTTACTGAGCGGCGATGTAGACGAGCGCCCATGTCCCTCCAGGTCTAGCAGATGCAGCGAGTACGAGGCGGCCAGGATCGCTGCTGGGATCAAAGGTTGGAAGTACTCTGAGCTTGCACCAAGATCATGGATGAAAACGATTGGTGGCCCTGAGGTCTCACCGACAGTCTTGAAATAGAGGGACTTGATATTTTTTTGTGTCAGCACTGTGCTAACAGCGACCTTGGCCGTATTGCTAGATCTTGAGTGAGATAATAGTACGTCTTGGAGCCGATTGACCATGGGGTTTGCTGATGATGGGTCTGCGATGCGATTGGTCAGGGTGCCGAGTCCGCTCACAGATACGGCCACGGTGTCACCGGACTTGAGATACATCGGCGGCTTTTGTCCTATGCCCACACCTGCAGGCTGTTGCGGCATTAAAAACTTCTATTCTTTTCTGGAAGACTTTGTATCCAGACTTACGGTACCGGTCGCAAGGACATCCCCTGGTATCAATGTCTGCCCCGCGGACATGGTCTTGATCAAACAGGGAACAGAGAAGATCAAGTCTTCAGTAGTTGCACTCTGCCGCAATTCTCCATTGACATGCGTCTGAACGTGCAACACCTTACCAAGTCTTGCTGCAGGTACAGCAATGGGACCCTTCCAGTCGTTAGTCCATTGTGGCCTTTTTCTTTGGGACGCATTACGAACCATGGGACAGAAAGTATCGGCCGACTTGCCAATGTAAAACTGTTTGTGGTCTCGTTGTCTTTCACGCGCTGTAACGTCATTGATGATTGTGTACCCCCACACATGGTCCATGGCGTCATCTTCTGCAACGCGATAGGCATGCTTGCCAATGATCACACCAATTTCGCCCTCGTAGTCGAGTGTTTGGGTGAATTCAGGATGGGGAAAGATATCTTCGCCATCTGCAATGATCGACGTCCAACGCTTGGTGAAAATGACAGGGTGCGATGGCGTGTCGACTTTGTCGGAGCTGTCAAAGCCAGAGCTATTGAACTCTTTGGCATGCTCAGCGTAATTCTTACCCACGCACAAGACATCGCGGTCTACCAATGGGGGTAGTATTTTGACCGATGACACTGGAATGTGATCATCTGCGCTGCAGATGTTTGCTTCCCCAGCCTCGATGACTTGATATAAATCAACGATTGGTGTGCCGGAAACAAAGCTCAGTGGGATGATGACCTCATTGGAGAAGTCCAGATGTCCGATCCGCCTCTGCTGGGTCTCGGCATCTTGGTAGGCAACATAATTCGTGAGGGGTCCCTCTTCACTCATGGCGTGAGAACAGAGCATGGAGTACCCAGCCTACCTACGTGATGTTGTCGTCCAAACTTGTCGGTCGGACTCAAGATAGACACGCTCCTTACGATGACCGTAGCTCTGCGTAGTGTGGAGGTCAAGATAAGGATGCAGATGTTGCCAAGTATGCAATGCTGCGATATCAAAGATTGTGTTTCGTTCTTCTGTGGGTATCCAACAGTTCTCGGCGTTGAAGCCAATGCGTCCGATAAGTTGCGTACGGCAGTCGGCTGAAGTCGCTAGGACTGTGCAGTATGTGCCTGTGGTAAGCTCGCGTCAAGCGCCCAAGGCTTGGTGGATCGTGAATGACTAGTGACAGTAGACTAGGCGGCTAGCCACCGTACCTAACAGCACGTAGACTGACTGTGCAAAGACTAACAGTAGGTGGTAGAAGTAATACGGCACGCACGCAGAGTAATGTAACAGTAGGTAGGGGGGAGGTGGAGGAGGTGGGGGGGAGTGTGCACGTTCAATTAAGCAGTCGAGTGGCGGCGCCTAGTGGTTGGCGAAGGGTGCCGGTGAAGTTGCCGCATTGGCTGGAATTTGTGGGCATCTTGGCAGGGTTTCCGGCACCGGGCCAAGGGGGCAGGACATGCGGCCAGTCTTTCGGTAGCTTGAGCCGACCAGCTCTTTTCAGCTTGAAGGGGCGTGTGTGTACGGAGTACATAGTACTCTACTCTACCTTTTGGTAGGGCGCAAGGTCCTCCGGCTTACAAGAAGATGGCAAGAGTACAAGTAGGTATGTGATTGCTGTAGTCCCGCAAGCAGGCTGCTGATGCTGGAGACCGATGCGAAACCGTCCTCGAAATCGACCTCGAAATCGACCGTCTTTGCCTGCGCCGCCATGTACCCGCACCGGTCACGCCCACCCTCGACTGTCGAACTTCCAATGCAAACGGGAGAAAAGCCGCAACCGTGGCCAGTGCGGTCCTGGCCGGTAGCTGCGCTGCGAGGAAAATTTCTCTCTCTGGCTCCCAGGATAACCGATGATTGTGCGGCTCAACGCGCATGGGGCTACTGGCAAGCATGGAGTCCCCCAGCAATCCCCTCGAGACCCCGACATCCACCCACAACTGGAGCTGGGCCGTGCTCGCTGTTTAATCACACAAAGAGTCAGGAGTCGGTGTTGGCCGTGCATTTCCCCAAGGCTCAAGGCGTGGGCATGGGCATGGGCTTCCCCGGAATCTGATGTACCATAGTATTCTGTTACCTACACCATCCAGTCAGAAAACCTTCTGGAAGCTTACGTGCATCAACCGACATGGGGAATCCGTCATCACTGCGTGTGATGTGTTGGCGCTGGCGGCTTACTGTACACCATTCACTACCAACAGTTTCAGATCACGAAAAGATGGATCGGAGTGCATACCGAAGAAGACGCGCTCAGCGGAGATCCAATAGAAGAATTGCCAATCGGCCTTATTATGACGTAAATACTGGAGAAGACACCAGACGCCAACCAGCAAAGCCCCCGGCGTCTGGCGGGAGCTTAACGTTAGTCGTCCCGGAATCACTGGGATCACCCAGGGATGCCAGAACCCGGGGATTCTCCCGTGCACCGTTCGACTCTTTGAGGGAGGACACTGCGCGGCAGTAAAATTATCAATCCACAGAGAGCATCTCCGTTGGGCGGCTCTGCGGGCAACACCTGCAACGTAATAGGAAACTATGGCTCGTCAGAACTAGCTTCTAGCTCCCACACTAGACGTTCCTTGCCCCCTAGGGGTGCGGAGCCCCGTGAAAGTTGCCGACATCTGGGGAAGGTCCCGGCACGCGTACGATGTATGTACTATGGTACCATGATATTCGCTAACCGAACTCAGCGCGCCAGTACAAATGGATTGTCGAATATGGGGACTACCTGACACGACTATAATAAAGTTGGGCCCATACCCACCACACCTCCAGGCAGATTGTCGCTTGAAGACCGCGCTTGGTCCTTCGAAACTGCAGTCCTCTTCTGTTTCTCATGCTCTTTGTTGGGCATTTTTAACTTGAATCAACGCCATGTCCCCTTACCCTACCCACTACACAGGAGGTAACAACACAGAAATGGCGCCAAATACCAGCGAGAAGCCTGCTGTTGATTCAGACTACGAACGTGGTGGAGTGTTGACCGAGGACGCCGTCTTCGGTGAGGTCGTAGAGGGCGGCCCAAATTATCGCAATGCAAGCCCATCGATCACGCGACATGTTCAACATGGCTAACACCCAGCAGGTTGGCCTTCTCGGAACAGCCGGTCTGATGATGAAAACGCAAATCGGTCTCGGTGTCCTATCTATTCCTGCAGTCTTTGATACTCTTGGTTTGATTCCTGGAGTGATAGCTCTCCTCCTTATCGGTGGCATCACCCTGTGGTCAAATTACATGGTGGGAATCTTCAAATTGAAACATCCAGAGGTCTACGGAATTGATGATGTTGGGCAATTGCTATTTGGCCGTATTGGCAAAGAATTCTTCGCCGTCGTCTTTGTCTTGTGTATGGCATGTCAAGATCCGTTCTATTTTATTCACTGACATTTTGCAGTATGGGTCTTCATTGCTGGCGCTGGTATGCTCAGTGTGTCCATCGGCCTGAACGCTATCTCCATGCATGGCACATGCACAGCAGTATTTGTTGTTGTGGCTTTCATCATCGGCTTCGGGCTTGCCAGTGTCTCCACCCTCGAGAAAGTCGGATGGCTCGCCTGGGTCGGTCTGGCTGGTATTATTTCATCCAGTAGGTCTATTTTGCCTGATTCGGCAGGAATCTGCTAATATTCTCTAGTCTTTGTCTTGACCGTCTCCGTCGGTGTTCAAGATCGTCCCGCCGAAGCACCACAATTTGGCCCATGGGAGTCGGACTTTGAGCTTTTCAAGAAGCCACGTTTCTCCAATGCTGCTGCCGCCCTTGCTTCGCTCGTCTTCGCCTACGCTGGTACTCCTGCCTTCTTCAGTATCGTCTCTGAGATGCGCGATCCCCGCGATTATGGCAAGGCGCTGGCCATCTGCCAATCAGTTGTCACGATACTCTACATTACCATTGGCATTGTCGTCTACTACTACTGCGGATCCTACGTTGCATCCCCCGCGCTCGGTTCTGCGGGTGTATTGATGAAGAGGATCTGCTATGGTCTCGCTCTGCCTGGTCTTCTCGTGACTGTCATGTTGGTCACCCACGTAAGTTACCGATGCCAATCTACCCTCATATTGCGCAAGCTAATAGCCACCCAGATCTCCGCAAAGTATGTTTTTGTTCGCGTTCTCCGAGGATCCTACCACTTGAGCCGCAACACTGTCAAGCACTGGGTTGTCTGGCTAAGTCTGACCTTTACCACCGCCTTGGCTGCCTACGTTATTGCCAGCGCGATTCCAGTCTTCAACGAGCTCGTATCGCTCGTTGGCGCATTGCTAGGAACCCTCATGTGCTTCCAGCCCATGGGATGCATGTGGTTATACGACAACTGGACCGCTGGTAAAGTCACGAAGACCCTCAGGTGGCGGCTTATGGTTGTTTGGAGTATATTCGTTATCATTTCAGGCTTCTTCCTCATGATTTCTGGCACGTATGGATCTGTTGTAGCAATCATGGACAGTTACAAGGAAAATGGTGGCACCCGCCCTTGGTCGTGCGAGGATAACTCGAACTCTGTTCCTCAGTCATAGAGGATAGGATAGGATAGCATTCTTGGAAGTAGCGCAAGGGGGGATCTTGACCTGCATGCACAGCGGTCATTTTCTGAGTCGGGTTTGGGACTCGCCAGGAGTCGTATTAAAATCATATCTCTATAGAGTTTGAAGCCAACAACTTACCATCGTACATGTCATATTAGTCGAAGTTAACCATTCTAACATGATTTCCTTCCATCTCACAACTTCAACGTGTCGTGACACTAAATGCTAGCACTGACCTCGCATAGGCACCAAGAAGAAAACTCTTTTTATTTTGAGCTTTCCATCCATCCTGATCCTGAACTCCAACAACATTAGCCTCACGTACTTGCGTGACCTGACTTTGAATCCCCACAGAACACAAGAGACCCACCCGCAACCACGATAATAAACCTGGGGTACGGGGTACCATGGAAACTCGCGAAAAGCAACAACAGTGTGCCTATCCACCCCCACAAACTGCATACTCCTCACCCGCACAATTTCTCAGTCGAGGCAGTCTCTCACTCAACATGCCGTTCAAAGCCGTAGTGGCAACGGCTACCTTCGCACCTTTAACCCCCCTGCCGTGCCCTGGGCGTAGTGTCGGAAGGAAGTCGTAAGCAGGTGGATCCTCCTCCCCATGCCCCCAGCGCTCTCTCCTCCCCCACGGGCTCGGGAGCTTTTTGATAGCGCAAGCCGTCCCGTTCTCGTCTATGTCCGAGAAACGGGTTTCCTGCGCTAGTTCCCGCTGTATTAGGATTGGGTTGCAATGGGTTGGGGTGGTAAGGGACAGAGCAGAATGCGGCTCCAAATGGAATGGTAGCAGACTGCAGCGGGCAGAGAGGATGGAGGATGAATGCTTCATTGGGGTCGCTTCCGAGGCTAGTGCTAGGGTGGTTCCGAATAGCTCCGATGTACGGCCGTGGACGCTGGTCCAATGGGCATTGTACGGATCACGTGGAGATCGTGGATAGTAAATGGAGAGCAATTGTATACAATGGATTGAGTAATGGCTTGTGAAAGATCTCAGGAGGATTGAAGCCCGACGAACGCACGTCCTTTACCGGTACGGTAGCTACGGTAGGAATTCCACCATGATACAGCACGATACCTACTCACCCCGCAATGAACTTCACTAGTCCATGGTAACCGCGAATTGCTCCACTACCCCAACTTCCAGATGCCACGTGTAATCCGCCTTTCATTCTCTTACACAGTAAGGACAAAACTAGGATCAACCCATCCATTAGCCTCTTCACCGCCAACCCAGCCGTCCCGTCGTCTGATCCCGCAAATATGAATAATCCACATTCGGCTCTACTACTAGATTGCAGTAATTAATCTATGTGCTGTATATAAAAGCCGCAACAACCTTGAATATCGTTCGTGAGCAATGCACTCAAAGATCCCGTGTCGAATGCTCTGAATGCACCGGAGAAGGTACGATTAGCATTGAAATTTGCATAGTTCGTATTTCGAAGTAGGGTAAGGGAAAATCAGCAACCATAGCCGCGTGGAGTAACAGCGCACTTGTTCTAGTCTTTTCACCTCGAGCCTTCATATTCATATTCAAGTCCATGTTCGTTCGCCTTGGGGATTCATCTTTATATTAGAGGTTTTTCCTGTCTTTGTCTAAGTAATAGTTATACTGCTTTCTCTCTTAGTAGACCTTGCCTACAATTTCAACCATCTAATCCAAACACTACGCCGCCCCCAACGAAAAAACCCCAAAAGTACACTCACTCCTAATCACATGCTTCGCGAAACCCTTCATGTACCCAAAACACAGTGACATCACACCCACCCCACCTCCACCCTCACACTCCTGATCGAGAACGTCTTATCCCAATCTATCGAGAATTTTTCATATTCTGCATTTACATCCCACAGCTAGCACCATTAGACAACTATGAATTTCCCTTCAAGACTCCTGGCCCAACACGATTATTTTCATTCATGCTTGCGGGATGTGAGATTGGCACGAGCCCGTTGTTTGGAAGTCTAGGCGTGGGCGCGAGTATGTACAAAGGTCCTAAATATATGCAATAGCTATGACTGGGTCTCAATCCAGCCAACACTACAGTGCTACAGTGCACCACTCCAACACTGGCCTGGATAACTTATTGAAATATAAGGAATTGCTATATCATGTTCAATTTTACAGGTTTAGATGTTCAAGCGTAACCGACACATTGACTGCGACAAAGTACAACCACTGTCACAGTTAAAACAGCAGCGACGACCAAAATCCCCAATAATTATTAACAATACCCTTGAGGGATGATATCGCCTCACGAATGCGAATGTCCAGCCTACGATATCAGCTTATGTTTGCGACAGCACGAGCACTGCGTTGCCTAAGCTGCTTAAACTCAGACCAAAGGTCTCGTTCTAGTGTGGAGGAAATTTATAAAACGGGGGTACACTCAAAGTATTGGTTTATGGGTGATTGGAATGGTATAGGTAAGATGCGTGCTGCATCACGTCTTGAGATTGCGTTGTGTATGACAGCTTCTTTGTGTATCTGTTTATCCACCCATGTACTCAAACTGCAGTATACGTAACCCACAAACTTCGCCGTCCGCAACGCCAAAGCATGGGGTATAGCATGTAGTACAAAAACACCTCCCAGGTGACAAAAATCCCGATGCCCGCAGACGGTGTACGGGTGAAGAGTGACCTGCAGGGTAGGTCCGTGGAGAAACAGGCAGACAGCAAAGAAGTCAGCAAGGAAGAAAATATATATGCTGACTGAGAACCTAAGTGCCTGGTGTCTGAGCACATCCCGCCCCACAGAATTGCATCTGAGCGTATGTCTATCATAGCTCGATGGGAATTTGAATGTAACATGGACCGAAAAAATAACGAGCAACTCGTCCATGATGCGCGCGACTTTATTGCTGTGAAAGTTCTTAGAGAGGAGATGTTTCCATGGTGCGCTGTTACAGAGAAATGAGATGGATTGAGTGACTTGGGCGTGTATGTCTTGGGCTGGGTTGTTAGGGGGCAGAGGTGGAAGAGTAGGTAGAGGAAGAACAGCAAGTATAAGTAAAACTACGCACCCTCAACCCCTAGAACAACCCCCAAAATCTCTACCACACGCATTAGTACAACCAAAGACATCTGATACAACAAATCACCTCATCTCTCATACTCAATCGCTCAAGACTTAATCCCATGCATACTTCCACACCCCAACGCACACACGCGTACGGCAGAGATCGAAAACAATGTGGGTGATAGTATCTACTCCCTGTTTTGAGTGACAAGCCAATCATAGTATGTGGCAATACAAACAGTCAGCATTCAAACTCTGTTCACCACGGCCACTCCCATCTTTATTCCCCCTTAATCCCCCCCCCCCCCAAAAAAAAGACCAGCGCTATGCACTACAAACCACAACTTCACAAATGCACACAAAGTCACAAGAGCACTGGAGTTCTAGATATCGCTGATATATTGGCTGTACAGGAAGAAAGAGATATGTACACGTTTCTCAAAAACGAATGTTTGGTTCAAGTCGAGCGGACTTGGTGACCGTTGGGGTGGTGTCTTTGGGGTGCTCAGCATCCAGAAGAGTTCGCAGTGTGGGCGTTTAGTTGCTGCCGCTGTTGTCTTTGTCGCCGTTGCTGCCACTGTCCTTGCTGCCACTGCTGTTGTCGTCCTTGCTGCCACTGCCCTTGCTGCCGCCGCTGTTGTCGTCCTTGCTGCCACCGTTGTTGTTCTTCTCCTGCTGCTTGCGAGCCTTCTCCTGCTCCTTCTCAGCCTTCTCCTGAGCCTTCTTAGCCTCCTTCTCAATCTTCTTCCTCTCCTTCTCGGCCTTCTCCCTCTCCTTCTTGGCCTGCTTATCGTTGTCATCTTTGTCGTCGTCGCCCTTACCACCCTTGGACGGCTTGGCTATGTTCTCGTTAGCATCCTTGTTCGCTCCCAAGATATTTCCGTCTTGGACGAGTACTTACGGGAAGGGGAAGGCATGGGCTTTCCCCAGCCTCCTGGGCCCATTGAACCGCCAGTGGGCCGTGGTGCACCGACGGGCCAGGATCCAGAGGGTCGTGGTGCACCCATAGGCCAGGTTGGCGTAACATCACCTGGAGCCTTTGATCCATCGGGAGTTGGGAAAGTGCGCCGTTCAACGACGGGTGCAGCAAGGGCGCTGTTGGTACTGTTAGAGTGTGTGGTAGAGAAGTGGCGAAGAAGTGCCAGCGAAGACGTACCCAGCGGCCAGAAGAGCAATGATGGAGAAACGCATGATGAATTGATTTGGGATGGTTTGTTGTTATGTAACGAACAAGCTGTGAAGAATTGAAGGAGAGTAGAATCGAAGCGATGGATAGTGGATGAGATGTCCGCTGATGATGACTTGAAACATTCTGTCGAGGAAGCATTTATACTTGAACTGAGGGCTCCCCTCCCGGCTGACTTACTATCGAGTCCCGCTTCATGGATAGTATTTTGTTGATCTCGCGGTCAGTGCCACTCGGTATCCCCGGTCTTTCTTTCAACTCGAGGCATCACAAATGATCGGTGTTAATGAGATGGTATTTAGCACGCCAATGCAACTAGTGTAAGAGACATACCTCCAAAGTAGAAGAAAAATGGAGTACCAAACGCTCCTACGTGGTCAGAAATGGTTTGTGTATCCAAAAATGAAACTTGACGTTGCGGGGGGGGGGGGGGGTGGCGTGCATTGAGATCGGCAAAAATGGGAGAACCAATCTACGTGTTGCAGGTACTATGTTTTAGAAACAGCAGCATGACGCGGTCGGTGCTATGTTTACTACACACCACCGGCATTCAGATGTCCTAGTTCGAGCAGTTCTCCTCTCGGGCTGTGCGACAATGCGCATCAACAATTAGCCATTTTGAGTTTGCGACAAGTTGGCATCATCTCATGTCGACGTTGTGTCCTCGACCAAGCGACAGATGGTATGATTGAGCGAATAACTGCATCGCGTGAGTAAACGTTTACAAGTATCAATCAATCGCCAACCTGTTGGAGCTCTTGACCAACCTGTTGGGACGTTTGAAACTCGATGTACCTGCCCATGTTGTACTGAGCGATGTGTGACTAGCTTGCATTAGCCAGGACCAATGCTGATCCACCAGGGTGAAACAACATGAGCTGGGAACTGCCAAGCGAGAGCCTGATTGAGCATGGCATTCGAGATGGGCTAGTTTGTCATTCTGCCTACTCTCAAGAGGGCGAGTGTACTTGGTTGATAGAAGAGGTGATCATTCCAAACTTGGACGTCGTTCACTGAAAGAGCATAGGTATCGTTTTGGCGGCCAAAAGAGGGAGGCTAAGCGGCTTGGAGAAAACCAACATCGATCGAACAAGCCTACCTTATCCGGGGGACCGGGGGTGTGCGACGAATGGAAACATACCCGTGGGCAGAATGCAAGCAAGGTAGGGAAGAGAGAAGCCTCGGTCATCGTCTTGGGAGCTTCTATCGTTGTTGCTTCGAGCCGAAAATAGTGATGCAGGACCATGGCCAGGCTGTTTTGTTCGACGACAGCTTTTACGACATGGAAAAGAAAGAGAATACGAAGACGTCGCTACAGTAAGCTAAACAATGCAATGAGTTCGGAAGATTGATGGCTATCAATTGAGTGCTGACAACGCATGACGACATTTCCGAGCAGTCGGTGATTCTTCATCGACCAAGGAACCGAAATGGCAGCGCACGACTACTCTGGACCCTAGGTAGTGGTGATAGCAGTAAACGTCCATGCTGTGTGTGCGTGAAGACGTCCAAGACATGGTCGTGCATACCGGTACCGGTAGACCATCATGTCGTTGTGTTAAGCAATGTGCGAGCCGTGCATGCTGCATCCATGATTGGGCCCCTCACTTTCAGCCGCAAGTTTTTGACCGGGTCTCATCTATTTGAATATCGCTCGCTGCGTGACAGGAATGCCGATCGGTCAATCGTCATTGGGGCAGACTGCGCGCGTGTGTCAGATAAAGATGATAATTGAGGAGAAGCATGGAGGTCAGAGAGGGAGTGTTGAGTAGGTAGGTAGAGGCATAAAAAGGGTCATCAGAGAGTTGACGATTTGGTCTTTCCACCCTGATTCCCTCTTGAGGCGGGAGTCTTGCATTGCAAAACAACCATTCCCAACAGTGGAAACACGAAGCCATAGAGAGCGATGCAACAGTTTCGAAACGAGTAGGTACATGGCTTGTTTGTATTGTAGATGGCTCCACCCCCGCCCCCGTCGCCCCCCACTCTCCCCCAAACCCACTCGTATGCAGTACAAGAATAAGACCGAAGGCACCAGCTCCTGCAGGATTGATCCACAAAATAGGCCCTTTCAAAAGAAAGTCGCCCGATACATACTATTAGGTCGTCCAGAAACTGGGTCCGAAAGTTGGTCAGTTGCGTCATTCCAGGCTAAACACCTGCAGGTGTAGTTGAAGTCTAACATGGCATGGTAAGTTTGGCGGTTGATTTTATCTCTCTCTAGCCCTCCAACAGGAAGCTAGGATAGAATATGTCGTTATCGTCATGCAGGGCATCCTGTACCAGGGACGTAAGACGTATGCAGAAAGTTGTCGAGGCAGATTAATTAGCTTAGTTTTACATGCGCAAGTCACCTACCTCCTGCGCTACCGTACACAACACGTGCTTGGTACCTATGGCAAGTCCACTACGCTTCTGAATGACGACTTGATACCGCTATGCTCACGGGCGAGAAGAGAAGAGTAAGCAACGTGGCCAGATGATTTCCATCACTAATTGAACTTGGCCAACGACCTCTTTGCCCAATATCTCTCATCCTTCATTCCCAAGCTTGGTCAATCCTCGCATTCGAAGATGCGAGAATATACACAAGCATTACCCTATGCCTGTTGTCATGCTGATTTGAGGGAGCCAAGTGTGCAAAAGTAATCAGAGATGCAAAAAGTGAAGTTTTACAAGAGAAAATTAGTCTACTTTTGATTGACTGTAAAAGGGGTATCGCATAACCACTTTGCCACGAACTGAACAGGCTGCTTCCACACCATGTCATGTGTTTACTCGTCGTCCTCAATGACCAGGCCAATTTCTTCGACGTTCTTGACCGCACCCCCTTGATTGGCGTCTTCCTCTTCGTTTGTCTCCCCATTACCTTTTCCCTCGGCCCTCGGCGCCAACTTCTTCTTCCCTCCAGCCTCATCAGCCAACGGCGTCCCCTCTCTCGCGCTGTCCTCAGCCCCCTTACCCCCCTTCTTTGCCCTCTCCTTCCTCAACCTCGCCTTTTCCCTCTTGGCGCGATTCTTCTCTGTCCTCTCCCGATCCCTCTTCTCCTGCTCCTCCTTTTTCTTGAGAAACTCGCGCTGCTGCTCCTCCTTGACCACCTCCTCGTCCATCAAGCGCAGCCTCTCATACTCGCGCCGCCGACTCGCCTTATACACATGGAACTCGCCGCTGCCGGCACCAGCACTGGAGCCTTGGACGTTGGCGACGATTTCTGGGGGCAGCGCGACGGATTTGGAGAGTGAGGAGTTGGGGAGTTGGATGTTGCGGTCGGGCTTGGCGAAGAGGGCTTCGACTTGCGAGGAGAGGGCTGTGCGAGGAAGCGCGCGCTTTTTGGTAGGCCGGTGGGAGCGGGGGTCTGCAGAGGTAGGGATGGATTCGGGGATTGGCTCGGACATTGCGGGTGGTGGTGAAGGAATCAGTTGGGGGTTGTTCAAGGGAGGGCGCAGTGATGGACCGCGCAATCGCCGCCCGCGTCGCGCTGGGATCGTGGAGACGCTGGCTGATTAAGGCAAAGCTGAGAAGCCTGGATGTTTTCGCGTTTGTATAGTAGATCAAATGACGGAGGGATCGGCTGTCGCGTCGAGGAAAAAGGGCGTGAAGTGGGTAAGCAAGTGGGTGGTAGGTATGGGAGATGGATGATGGGCGGGATGGATGACATCTTCCGTGACTGGATGACGGAAGAAGGCTAGGCTGGCAATTTGCGGCGGCGGAGCGGAGGTCACTGCGGGTGGCAACCCAAACCATGAACGCTGCCCAGTCCCCGCTTCAAAGGTGAGGATGAAACAACAAGGCTCGAGAAGTCGCACATTGTCTGGCCCCTCTGGACACATGATTGCCATTTACTGTTCCGACCCTTGTAGCAACACGCACACGCACACAGACATTTAGCACCTACGTACATACCTACATTCTCTGGAGGAAGAAGTACATAGCATCGTGACACAGCCCGCCGCCTTCACCATGGGGAAACCTCGGGTACGTCCACACATATGCTCCTTGCCGATAGCCCCAAGTCAGAAGAGATTCACAGACTCACACTCTGACCACAGATGATCATATTGATCCGCCATGCGCAGTCAGAGGGAAACAAGAATCGCGATATCCATCAATTCATCCCCGACCACAGGGTCAAGCTCACTCAGCATGGCTGGACTCAGGTACACACGTCTATTCTATTCTCTCCCTCCTCACTGGAATCTCCTCTCTCTCTCCCCTCTCTCTCCCATCTCTCTCCTATCTCACCCTTCTTTCTCCTTATCATATATCATCCCCCTGCTAACTACTTATTGATTCACGTATTTTAGCTTTTTGCTTTATTAT